CTTATAGGAGAGAACAAAGGTTGATAATGTACACATTATTCTGGTAAAGTGATCATGGGAAACTAGCAAATATTTGAATGATCAATGACTAAATTTGAAAATATCTTAATGGTCAATTTAAAACTTAATTTTCATATTCAGTATGACGGAAGCCGGTGTTTCACTTTTTTTCTAATGCTTACATTCAAAGCTCGTCTTTACAGAAATTTGATTCATGAAATAATGAAATATAAAATGTAATGGCACAATTTTTATTTTGAATTTTATGCTTTATGGTAATTATTTTAGTATTTTTGGTGCATTCTATCCATTTTTGTACTTTTTTAGATACATTGCATTCTTCTTGTTAAAAATTACACTTTATTGTAACATGTTCAGTTTCCATTAGTTTATCCATTATCAACGTTCATTATCTTTATTGTTTGTTGTTGCGATCTACGATTGTTCCCCACTCCCTGTGCTTACTAGGTGGGGAACATGGTTAATGGTAGCCTTTTATAATTGTGAAAAAATTGGTGCAATTAAAAATATACCTAATCATGAAACTAGACAAAAATGATGCGACTTCAATTGCAAAAGTGATTAATTTGATCTTTGATCTAGATTTAGAATTCAATTAAGTTTATATCAAATAAAATTTTGGATCACACCAAATTCAATCACACAATTAGTATCGTAAAAAATATGCMTTGACGATTCTATAGTATTAGTTGTAAAAGATGAAAAATATAAAATTCAATTAGCTAACACAAAATATAGTTATGCRCGAAATTCAACTTAAATTTAAAACTGTTAGTTGATTTTTTAATTATTGTAATTGATACTTTGATAACCTGTTAACCCAAATAATTCGTCTATGAAAAACTAATTTTTTTGAATTAAGAATTTGTAGTTTACAAAGTATTTAAATATTAATTTAGTTTTTAATTTTTATATTTTAGACTTACGGAATCTATACCCTAACCTTCAATTCTATATTTTAATAAAATATATACCTATATAAAAAGTTTTAACATACATGTCCCTAAAATTGAACATTATTAATAATATTATTGTTATATAAATATTGTATGAGTAAGTATATCCCATTATAAATAACTCAAAGTTCAGCCTTTAGATTTTCGGAATGTGGTGGATTGAAAAAATGAATTTAGAGCAAAGCGGATAGGTTAATTATTGTATCTTTATTTTATACTTTAATTTAAAAAAAAAAATTAATAACCACATAGAAAATAAGAAAATAATTTTTTTTTTAAGTGAAATTTTAAAGTAATTTAACCTAACCTTCATCAGAAGAAGTAAAGTATCTAACTGGAACTCACATCTAAAATAAAAACRAAAATCAATGAACTTAAGACTACCTACATCTTCTGAGATCCCTTAGAAGAAATATTCTCTAGCCAACAAATTAATGATATACAAATCAATATTTTCACAGGCTATTATGTCTATATGTGTGGTATATATGTCACAAGAATCATAAATATTTTAAAATCCATTAAGTTTATTAAGTATATRTAAACAATTTTTTTTTTTTATGAATTCAAAACAATTTTTCCAAATTTATTTTTGCTGCTAAAAATTATAGCGAAGTAAAAATGTGTTACTATATTCAAATATCCAGCTGCTCACTCAAATAACATTTACTTAACTTAAATTAGTCAAAACACGATTAGGTAAGAAATATTATGAGCTAAACCAATTAGAAGATTTGAAACGCATTGCCTATCTACCAGACATATATATAAATATAGATATTGTTATTGTTGTAACTAGAGCTCTAAAATATTAACCAATCGGCAATCAATAAATTAATACTTCGATCTAAAAAATGTTTAAAAACATAATTTAATAGACGTAATATTATTCTATTTTTATTAATTTACCAATTTATTTAGCCCTTCGTGCTAGACGCTAGTATATTTGATAAGTTACTCGATTTTTGGTCTGAGGGAGCCGAGAGAAGCATTGGCCCCATGAGTTTACTTGCAATTCTTGTTTAATGGGTTTAATGGTACCTACGTGATGAGTATTACATTATTCTTACCTAGTCTGCTCAAAGTATTTTTAAACAACTTCGATGGCACTGCTACTATAGGCTACAAGCTACAGGAATTAAATCTTATTATACAGATACAGAGTGTAACAAAAATATCTGACAAACAAAAAAAAACTATAGGTATCAGTAGGTATAGATAATCACATTTACTTATAAAATTACTTTTTTACCTGTTTAATAACACGGGAAGTCATAAAAATAAGAAAACGGTATTAAGACTAACTGCTTATAGTGTTATAMTGTTTTCTATTGTTTTATTTCGGTACTTAGTTACTTTAGTGTTCAGTAATACGCACAGCGCAAAATATATTATTTATCATAATTATGTCGAAGAAACAGTTATAATGTTATAAAATAAATATTCAAATAAGAACAATAAAACAGGATACATACATAATTGTACCTATACACTAATTTATTAGTCTTGTGAGTCGGAACTATGTAAAATTGTAAAATTATGGTATAACATTATGGTGAATATTATTATGTGATCATTGTTACATGTTCATTTACCGTTTTATTGTTAATGAAAATTAAAACTATGAATGAATGAACATTTTGTAGATTAGCAAAAATTTCATAATTCTAAAACCTTTAATAAACCAAAGATTATATTATATAATAAGTCAATAAAATAGAGGTATCGTGTTAAAATAATAAATAYATTTACATATACCTAGTATGGTATAAAAATAAATGTATATTCGTGCCTGAATAATATTATACCTATTCATGCAAAAATATAAGAATAATTAATATAAATTATTAGCTAACTAATTAATTAGCACACTAAAACTATAGTATATTATAATAATTTTTAGTAAGTAACGGTTCAAGTAGGTTTTGTTTTTTATGCAACATATCTTTCGTCTTATGTTACGTTTATAATACCTATCTGCTTATTAACTATAAAATAGGAATTACTTACTTATTACTGTTAATTGTCGTATTAGTTATTCATTTGAATTTGGGGGACTCTTTAGTGCTATCTATCAATTTAACTAATTGGAACCAGTTAGAAAATAAGTTATAAGAAGAAGAAGGTTGGTAAGAGTATATTTTATAACAAGGATCAGGGCAGGCTGATAAGAAATGAAAAAATAATATGATGAGCGGAAAAAAGAATTATACCTACCTAATATTATATTAGTAAAAATGTCAAGACATGAGTCTTGGTTTGACTAATATTGCTCTTATAGATATTCAGGCATACACCAAGATGTACCACCTGTACCTATAGTTTTAATAATATAAATCTATTATTTTATTTTATTGCATCATACTGCAGACAACAATTAAACTTACAAGGATACAAACGCATTATTATTGTAGGGACTATTTAGTACAATATAAATATATCTCACGAAATCCAAATTATTTGCTAGGTTACATAATATGTTATATGAGTAAGTAGGTAGGTATAGGTAGATATAACTGTACTATAGCCTAGGTGTTTGTTAGATTAGATTAAACATGTACAGCAGAGTATTAACGAAAGGATGGAGGGAATGGACCCTGACTCCAACTCGCAACTTTACCCACCCTACCTACCCAAATAGGCATTTCATAGATACAACAATGTAAAATTTTGTATTTTTAATATGTTACTAAAATCATTTATACATAGTTGCTGATTGCCTGCAATGTTCACATTAAAGTGATCAAAATTTCCAATTAAATAAGGTTTTCCAAAAATCTGGAAAACTGAGTTTGTCCCTAAGCACTGAGAAATTTATTAAGCAATAAATGATCTCTTATACGTTATTAAAAAATATTTATTTAAAATTAAAAATGAATAAATACCTATACAATTTTTTTAAATATTATTATAGAACATTAATTCTCATTAGTAATATATATCTAGGTACTGTTGAATATGGTAAATTACTGGGATCTATCTACAGGGAACAATATTCTACTTTTTTTTTTCTAACTATAGTGTTTACTATAGACTATAGTATTTTTTTATGCTGTAAACAACGGTGCAACCAGAATTCAATATTCAGATTTAGTTTTCAATTCGTACTCCATTGGTATTTACTATATAAGGTTAAATTCTTAAATTGTATATTAAATGATTACAAAAATTGTTTTGATTTAAGATAAAGTTTTGTTTGTTCATCTAGGACCTATAGGCTATAGGGTTATAGGTATAAGTTTAAATATGATTTATTAATAAATAATGTTTGCAAAATTATCCGGACCATTCTCATGAAAAATTCCTAAAAACGCAATTGCTTAAGTTTAAGTATATAATGATAGTATAGGTATAGAATCACATTTTGATTTAACACATTGGTCGATGTTATAGTTATTATGCTCGCGAATTGTTATTTATATAAAATTCAATATTACAAATATATTACCTAAAATATCTTATACATTTTTTTAACACCTTTTATTTTGGTATTTTCGTAGTATTTTCATTTGGAGTGATCCTGGTATTGTTTTGAACACTAGTTGAATTGCCGATCGTAGAAATATCTAAGCTCACAGAGTGCGTGGGTGATACTTCATCTTGAGTCGATACTTCCGTCCAACTTGTCATAAATTGATGAGTGTTGATGTTGTTCTTTATACTCTCGTAGTAGCTAAAAAAACATTTTCRTTTCACAATTAAAAACATACAAACAGTGTCTAGGAGTGACTAGAAGTACTTCGGCACGGGCAAAGAAAATTTTAACGACCAAACAATTTGTCACTCGTTGCATTTAATTATGAATAATTTTACAGCCATTACGTACATTTATAAAATTCTCAACAATTATATTCTTTTTACATTAAAATTTAATACAATTGTATTATTACATAAATTCATCATACACTACATCCACAAAATAGTGAATTTCTTAGTTTCACCACATTCGTAGTTTATAAAAAGTCATAAACTATTATTACTGATGAATGAATGAAATATGATATAATATGATATATTAAACATTTGTTGCATTATGGTAAATTATTATTATTATTATTATTATTGTTTTAAATGTTTTATTAGTTCGGACACATATATTTCATACAATGGCTCTTTTTCTACATAATATATTAAAAGCAGACTCCACATTTCCTATCTTAAATTTGATTTTAATCTCGTTTTTATTAGTTTCGGATTACTAAAGCCTAAAAGTCCATTTGCAGTTAACGTCTGACACTATATATCACCAGATATTGGTGGAAAAGTAAAATTTTCAGAATTACATACAATTCCAATTGCGACAAAATTAATAGATACAAAGATTCATTAGATCTATTGGCAGGATATAGGCTAAGTTAAAAAGTGATAGGCCCAAATAACATTCAATTGAATATTTGAATTGTCAGACTCTTCTCAATAAAACGAATAAATGTACTTAATGATAAACTAAATTGAATGTCGTTGT